AGAAAACCGGAAGTGGCGCTGTAGCTCAAGTGGTAGAGCGCTAGCCTTGAGCTGAAGAGCTGAGGGACAGCGCCCAAGCCCAGAGTTCAAGCCCCATGACTGACAAAACAAAACAAAAAGTTAAAAAAATAACTAAAAACCCCAAAAAGATGAGTCTGAGGTTGAAAAGTCTAGACGTTTATGAGATAGAGTTGACAAGGTATGGAGCAAACTTGGCACTGTAGCCCACACCTATAATCCTAGCTACTCAGGGGGCTGAGATCTGAGGATCACAGACTTTGTTCATGGCTAGGTGCCACTGGCTCACACTTCTAATCTAGCGCCAGGGGTGGGGGGAGGTGAGAGCGCATGGTTTGAAGCCAGCCTCTGTGAGACTCTTACCTCCCAGAAAACTGGAAGTGGTGTTGTGGCTCAAATAGTAGAGTGCTAGCCTTGAGCACACAGAGGCTCAGGGACAGTGCCCAGGCCTTGGGTTCAAATTCCAGGATGGACAAAAAAAAAAAAAAGTCTCATAGACTTCATTGCCTGGGCTGACTTCAAGCCGCCATCCTCAGATCTCAGCCTTATGAGTAGCTATGATTGTAGGTATGAGCCACCAGCACCCGGCTTTGTATTCTTATTTTAAAATTCAGTTCCTTGTGTTATGTCTTATGTTCCTGTATCTTCATTCCTTTTAGTTTATATTCTTTTGTGTTGGTTTTTCTGTTCTTGTGTTAGTGCTTTACAGGTGTTCCTTTGAATTACTGTGGCTTTGTAGCATACCTGTATATTCACTAAATGTCTACTTTTGAAATAATTTTAAATTTGTAAGAAAATTATAAAAAGTTATGCCTTAGCCAGATACTGACGACTTAAACCTAGATCTTGGCTATTAAGCAGGCTAACTGAGATCCGAGAATTGCAGTTCAAAGCCAGGGTTGGTAAAGACAAGTTTGAGACTTTTTTTTTTTTGGCCTGTCTGGGGCTTGGACCCTGGGCCTGGGAGCTGTCATTGAGCTCTTCAGCTGAAGGCTAGAGCTTTACCACTTGAGCCACAGCTCTACTTCTGACCTTTTTTGCTTATGTGGTGCTGAGGAATGGAACCCAGAGCCTCATGCATGCAAGGCAAACACTCTACCACTGAGCCACTTTCCCATCCCCAAGTTTGAGACTCTTATCTCCAATTAACTACCAAAAAGCTGGAACTGAAAGGTGTGGCTGAAGTATCAGAGCTGTGAAGAAAAAGCTGAGTAAGTGCATGAGGCCCTGAGTTCAGGCTGCCACACTGTGCACACACACACACACTGCCACACTGTATACACACACACACACACACACCTGTTATATCTTTCTAGCTAATTTACACACACACACACAGAGCTGCTCTCTTTCTAGCTAATTCTCAGATTGTTAAACATTTTCCTTCCCTGGGGGAAAGAGGAGTTGGGGAGATGGGGAGGGAAGGGATGGTAGGGGAAAAACAAAGGAGGGGCTAATGATGCTCAATAGGAAATGTAGTCATTACCTTACTCATGTAACTGTAACAGCTCTGTACATTATCTTTACAGTAATATGCATACATATATACATATATATATAACATTTTTCTTCCCTAAAGCATTGGCCATAGCCTCCAGTGTTGTTTTTTATTTTTGTCCTTTTGGTGGTACTGGATTTTAATCAGGGCATTATGCTCACTGGTCTTGTTTGCTTAGCCATGCATCCAGTTCTCTGTGGTTTTTTTGTTTTTGTTTGTTTGTTTTTGAAGACAGTCATGTACCCTCACTGGCTTTGAACCTCAAACCTCTTTTTTTTTTTTTTT